TTCATTCATTCATTCATTCATTCATTCATTCATTCATTCATTCATTCATTCATTCATTCATTCATTCATTCATTCATTCATTCATTCATTCATTCATTCATTCATTCATTCATTCATTCATTCATTCATATATTCAATGCCATTCCCAATTACATTGAACCCATGTGTTATAATAGAGACCTCTGTTATCATCTGTTAAGCTCCTTTCCCTTTTCTTAATTATACAAGACTAATAAATGGGAAGCAGGCCTTCTGCAAAAGAAAAGGAAAATGTTTAGCATCCACTTTTTTCCCAGGAATAATATAATCCTCATAGGCATAAACATTAAAAATGGTGGGTGACTGCAACCAAGTGCTTTGTCTGCAAATGTGCATTCCTGCCCAGAAAAAAAGAGATAGAAGAGATGGGGGTCCTCAGGAGCAACCCCACTGCTTTGCCAAGTTATAAATTGGTACATTGTGATTGGCCACGATGACATCTGTTTTGTGAAGAAGCAAGTTCCCCTCCCTTGCACTTACTTTGATCAGCCCAAAGTAGTTTCACTGTTTTTCCTGGCATGGAAGAAAGCATCTGATTGGTTCATTTAAAAGTCAGGAATCCAATGTAGGACTCCTGGTAGCTGGTAGTTGGAGATCATTATTGTGGATCTGAAAGTGTGCGGGAATTGAATCAGCCTCAGGAACTTTATGGAAGTTACAGATATGTGATAAATTGTGGGTTTGTCTACCAGAAGATATTACCGCGAGGCTGGAGATAGATAGATTAGATAGATAGATAGATAGATAGATAGATAGATAGATAAGAAAAAAAGCTGGAAAAAGAGGAGGAGGAGGAAGAAGAGGAAGAGGAGGAGGATTTATTTGAACTGAAGCATGATAAATCTCATAAATCAGAGGCATGTGTGTGCATGCTGTTTAAAACAAAATAAAATAATGGTTAAGCAAATGTCAGCTCAAGAAGATCATATTTATGATATCTAAAGACTGAAGTTAAATCTGCATCTGTAACAGAAAATATAGAAGCCTTACTAGCAGTAAGCAGTTAAGAGAGAGAGAGAGAGACCTCCTGTGAATTAAAGCTAATGCTAAATATAATTTCAAAAGAACTGGATAGAGAAAGAGATGCTTCTTGGGTTCTCACTCAGAAATATGAGAACAAAACACAACTTCACTGGTGTATATTTCTTAGGGTGGGAAAAACGGAGAGGGTGGCCCTCTCCTGTGTGTAGGATAAGCAGAATGGCTTAACCTACAAATCCACATATTCAGAGTAGTTCACGTAAGTAGTCCCTGAGGCATTTGGAAGGAGTGGGTCATACATTATTTTATTATTTTCTTTTAAACACATAATAAATCACGTGATTGTTCTGTTGGATAGAATTTAACACAGCTGGTTCACATGGTGTAAGGTTTGCCCCGTTCGACAGAGAAACTCCCGTGACACG